TGTAGGGAGAAAGCAGCAATAAATGATGTGTACATGTATTTGTGTACACGTGTGTATAAATGATGTGTACATGTATTTGTGTGTGTGTGTGTGTATAAATGATGTGTACATCATGTATTTGTGTAGACGTGTGTATAAATGATGTGTACATGTATTTGTGTACGTGTGTGTGTATAAATGATGTGTACATGTATTTGTGTACGTGTGTGTGTATAAATGATGTGTACATGTATTTGTGTACGTGTGTGTGTACAAATGATGTGTACATCATGTACTTGTGTAGACGTGTGTATAAATGATGTGTACATGTATTTGTGTACGTGTGTGTGTATAAATGATGTGTACATGTATTTGTGTACGTGTGTGTGTATAAATGATGTGTACATGTATTTGTGTACGTGTGTGTGTATAAATGATGTGTACATCATGTATTTGTGTACGTGTGTGTGTATAAATGATGTGTACATCATGTATTTGTGTACGTGTGTGTGTATAAATGGTGTGTACATCATGTATTTGTGTACGTGTGTGTGTATAAATGATGTGTACATCATGTATTTGTGTACGTGTGTGTGTATAAATGGTGTGTACATCATGTATTTGTGTACGTGTGTGTGTATAAATGGTGTGTACATCATGTATTTGTGTACGTGTGTGTGTATAAATGGTGTGTACATCATGTATTTGTGTGTGTGTGTGTATAAATGGTGTGTACATCATGTATTTGTGTACGTGTGTGTGTATAAATGATGTGTACATCATGTATTTGTGTACGTGTGTGTGTATAAATGATGTGTACATCATGTATTTGTGTACGTGTGTGTGTATAAATGATGTGTACATCATGTATTTGTGTACGTGTGTGTGTATAAATGATGTGTACATCATGTATTTGTGTACGTGTGTGTGTATAAATGATGTGTACATCATGTATTTGTGTGTGTGTGTGTATAAATGATGTGTACATCATGTATTTGTGTACGTGTGTGTGTATAAATGATGTGTACATCATGTATTTGTGTACGTGTGTGTGTATAAATGATGTGTACATCATGTATTTGTGTACGTGTGTGTGTATAAATGGTGTGTACATCATGTATTTGTGTACGTGTGTGTGTATAAATGATGTGTACATCATGTATTTGTGTACGTGTGTGTGTATAAATGGTGTGTACATCATGTATTTGTGTACGTGTGTGTGTATAAATGGTGTGTACATCATGTATTTGTGTACACGTGTGTATAAATGGTGTGTACATCATGTATTTGTGTACGTGTGTGTGTATAAATGATGTGTACATCATGTATTTGTGTACGTGTGTGTGTATAAATGATGTGTACATCATGTATTTGTGTACGTGTGTGTGTATAAATGATGTGTACATCATGTATTTGTGTACGTGTGTGTGTATAAATGATGTGTACATCATGTATTTGTGTACGTGTGTGTGTATAAATGATGTGTACATCATGTATTTGTGTACGTGTGTGTGTATAAATGATGTGTACATCATGTATTTGTGTACGTGTGTGTGTATAAATGATGTGTACATCATGTATTTGTGTACGTGTGTGTGTATAAATGATGTGTACATCATGTATTTGTGTGTGTGTGTGTGTATAAATGATGTGTACATCATGTATTTGTGTACGTGTGTGTGTATAAATGATGTGTACATCATGTATTTGTGTACGTGTGTGTGTATAAATGATGTGTACATCATGTATTTGTGTACGTGTGTGTGTATAAATGATGTGTACATCATGTATTTGTGTACGTGTGTGTGTATAAATGATGTGTACATCATGTATTTGTGTACGTGTGTGTGTATAAATGATGTGTACATCATGTATTTGTGTACGTGTGTGTGTATAAATGATGTGTACATCATGTATTTGTGTACGTGTGTGTGTATAAATGATGTGTACATCATGTATTTGTGTACGTGTGTGTGTATAAATGATGTGTACATCATGTATTTGTGTACGTGTGTGTGTATAAATGATGTGTACATCATGTATTTGTGTACGTGTGTGTGTATAAATGATGTGTACATCATGTATTTGTGTACGTGTGTGTGTATAAATGATGTGTACATCATGTATTTGTGTACGTGTGTGTGTATAAATGATGTGTACATCATGTATTTGTGTACGTGTGTGTGTATAAATGATGTGTACATCATGTATTTGTGTACGTGTGTGTGTATAAATGATGTGTACATCATGTATTTGTGTACGTGTGTGTGTATAAATGGTGTGTACATCATGTATTTGTGTACGTGTGTGTGTATAAATGATGTGTACATCATGTATTTGTGTACGTGTGTGTGTATAAATGGTGTGTACATCATGTATTTGTGTACGTGTGTGTGTATAAATGATGTGTACATCATGTATTTGTTTGTTTGTCACATACAGGTTACAGGTGACTACACTCTCTAACCAGGTCATCGTTGTCATGGTCACTGAGGACAGAGTCGGAACAGTGTCTGATGTTTCCTATCATCAACCAGTAGTCATGCTGGCTAGAAATTGGCCATTGTGGCAATTTGTTGTTTACTCTTTCACTTGCATAATGTCCTGCATGTGTTTACACCAATCTTTCTCTTGTTTACCTCAGACAGAGAACTATGGATTTTGCTTTTGTGTTCACTGACACTTTCACTCGTCTTTTTTAAGTTTTTTTTATGAATGTATGTGTTTGTGAGCGAATGTGTATGTTGAATGTATGTGTGTGTGTGTGTATATGTGTGTGTGTGTTTTTTGTGCATTTGCACTTCTTGCCGCCTGCAAAATTGGCCTAGCTATTTTTGTAGCACAATGTGCTTGTGTGTAATGCCATTTCACTTGCTCTTCTTCGTCATCAATGATGTCCATGTGTGTGTTTGGCCTGAAGTTTCCGTTTGGCTTGCTTTTAGTACTACAACGTAACAGAATACACTGTCATGGTTGTTTGCATGTTGAACAGTTCGACTTGTTTTTATCCATCATTTCTGATCACAACATGCTTTGTGCATTTCACTGCAGCTTCACATGCTAGTCTTCATCATTACCTCATGGAAATGTGTGTGTGTGCGTGTGTGCATTGCGATGTCACTTGTTTTTTTACTTTTATTTTTACATAACACAATTACTATGTTTATGAACTACAGCACTGCAGTTTCGATTGTTATTTTTCTCATCATTAAAGCACAAAATTTGTTTGTGTGACCCACAGTTTCACTCTTTTTTACCCATCATTCCAGACCCCAGTGAGCTTTTTGTCATTGTTATTCCCTTGCCAGCCTACATCACTACTGACCTGCAATATGATTGTGGGTGTGTGTGTGTGCAGTGATGTTTTCATTTGTTTTCTGTGACAGCTACACAACATGTGTTTGTGTACACTGCTGTTTCGCTTGTATCATTTCTTATCACTACAGCACAGAATACGTGTATGGGTGATTGTGTGGACTGATCACGCACTTCATTACTTTTATCCATGATGTGAGATCACAGTGTGGTCTTTGTGCAGCTCATCACTGTTTTCATTGCTGTTTTCGTTGCTTTTTCACTGCCAGCTGTTTTCGTTGCTTTTTCATTGCCAGCTTTTTTCGTTGCTTTTTCACTGCCAACTGTTTTCATTGCTTTTTTTGCTTTTCGCTTCTAGTATTCTACATGGTTGGAGTCGGCAATGTATTTTCATGCTCTGCTGTTTTCTGACTTTGTTTTCTGTATCAGTAAGGAACACACTTTGTCGGAACTGCACTTTACTTTGCATGCCTTCTTTTTTAATTACAGCACAGAGTGTGTGTGTGTGTGTGTGTGTGTCTGCACTGATCTTGCACTTGTTTTCCTTATCATTGCACAACATGATGCGTTTACACTTTACCAAGGTTTACACCATGTACCACTGCTGCAATTGCCTTGCCGGATCATTACGTCATTACGTCATTACGTCATTACGGTACACAGCTTGTTAGTGTACTGTGCACTGTACTTTCTCTATTTTCATCATCATTATTCGTAAGTCTTGTTTTTGTTATCCATACGGAGACCCGACCTTCACAGTGTGCCTGTGTGCTGTCTGCTGCTCAATGTGTTGTGCTGGATGCAATGTATGAGTGCGGTGAAGCATGTTACTGAGCTGTTTTCACCTGTGTGTACACTGATGGTGACTATTGTTCAGCTAATTCTTATTTAAATCCCCTTTTCCATCGCTCTCAAATACAGCAGAGATATGCTGAAGGCTGACATTTTGATAATGACAAAATTGGTCAGCGGAGAAACGACGTGGGGACAGAGAGATGGCTGACTATGCACTTCATGATAACAGGAATCAGAAATAGAGCATAAGTTGTTTAAAGATGACTGCATGTGTGAGAGAGTAGTTATGTACGAAGTGCCTGTTGTCCTGGTAACTAATCTCAGGTAACAAGGACTTATCCTTAAGGCCGTACTAACGATGATTGTATTACATGTGTACTTAGGTGTTGCACTGCACCATGCATTTTACACACTACACAGTACAGTACATGTGTACTTAGGTGTTGCACTGCACCATGCATTTTACACACTACACAGTACAGTACATGTGTACTTAGGTGTTGCACTGCACCATGCATTTTACACACTACACAGTACAGTACATGTGTACTTAGGTGTTGCACTGCACCATGCATTTTACACACTACACAGTACAGTACATGTGTACTTAGGTGTTGCACTGCACCATGCATTTTACACACTACACAGTACAGTACATGTGTACTTAGGTGTTGCACTGCACCATGCATTTTACACACTACACAGTACAGTACATGTGTACTTAGGTGTTGCACTGCACCATGCATTTTACACACTACACAGTACAGTACATGTGTACTTAGGTGTTGCACTGCATCATGCATTTTACACACTACACAGTACAGTACATGTGTACTTAGGTGTTGCACTGCACCATGCATTTTACACACTACACAGTACAGTACATGTGTACTTAGGTGTTGCACTGCACCATGCATTTTACACACTACACAGTACAGTACATGTGTACTTACTCGATCACCATCAAGGACTCCACCACAACCGTGCGGGCAGCCCTGGAGAGTAAGCATCCTTGCGGCACTCCAGCAGCAGAGCACATCCTGATAGCGGGAGCAGCGCCTCAGTGCCACCCAATCCGATTTGATTCCCTGACTGCCGACCTCGTGAAAACCGTGGCCATGCAGGCGAAAGGCTCGGCAGGTCCCTCTGGTCTCGACTCGTCAGCATGGCGACGTATGTGCTCGGCGTACAAAGGGGCCTCCAACAACCTTTGCTCGGCGATGGCGTCCTTCGGCCGCTTGCTAGCAACACAAACCTTGCCGCCAGACTCTCTTACCCCCTTCACCGCCTGTCGTCTAATTGCCCTGGACAAGAACCCAGGTGTCAGGCCCATTGGGGTGTCTGAGGTCCTCCGTCGCATTCTAGCCAAATCCATTCTCCGAGTAACGTCAGACGATGTAATGGAGGCCTGTGGTTTTCTCCAGAAGTGTTCTGGATTGCCAGCTGGGATAGAAGCAGCGGTCCACGCCATGAAGCGCTTGTATGAGGACGCCACAACTGAAGGAGTCCTACTAGTTGACGCGAAGAATGCCTTCAATTGCCTGAACCGCCAAGCAGCTCTTCACAATGTTCGCCACTTGTGTCCTTCCCTGGCTACCACACTGCTGAACTGCTACCAAGATGATGCCCGCCTCTTCGTTTCTGGCGGTGGTGAGCTTTCCTCCGCAGAGGGTACCACACAAGGTGACCCTCTGTCGATGGTTTTCTATGCCCTCGCTACATTACCATTCGTACGGCACCTCCGCACTACCCACGCCAACATCCGTCAATTGTGGTATGCCGATGATTCAAGTGGTGCAGGCAAGCTACGGGCCCTTCGACGCTGGTGGGATGATGTGGACGAGACCGGGAAACCTTACGGTTACCATGTCAACGCCTCGAAGACTCTCCTCCTCGTCAAGCCTGACCTGCTCAACCTGGCCCACAGTGTCTTTGCAGGAACTGGCATTGAAGTGGTCACGGATGGAGCACGCTACCTGGGTGCCGCTATAGGGACACCGGATTTCATCGCTGGCTATACAGCTGGGAAAGTACAAGACTGGCAGCAGGAGCTTATGCGACTGTCCGAGATTGCCACTACCGAACCTCATGCGGCGTATGCCGCCCTCACACACGGATTGCGTGGTCGATGGACATATCTCCTTCGTACACTGGAGTTCTCAGCTGAACAGCTGCAGCGACTGGATGACACGGTCACGGAGCACTTCCTTCCGGCTCTGACAGGGAAACGCACATTCACGGCGGATGACCTCTCTCTTCTACGGCTACCTTGCCGGCTCGGTGGAATCGGTTTGCCATACTTCAAAGAAATTGCTACCTCCCAACTGCAGGCTTCCCAAGTCATCACGAGCAGCCAGGTTGACGAGATCATCCACCAGCACGATCGAGAGTGGCAGCATCATTCCTGCGACTTTGTGGATCAGCTAGCCCGCCGTGAGAGAGCATCTGCTGCCAAGTCCTCCAAGAAAGCTAGTGCTGCCTCTTTCGCTGCTCTCCGAGAAGCTGCAGACCGCCCCTTGGCCCGTCGTATGGATGAGCTGTCCCGCAAAGGCCCCTCTTCCTGGCTCACTGCTCTTCCTCTCAAGGAACATGGGTTCCACCTCTCGAAGCAGGAGTTCAGGGACGGCCTTGCATTGCGGTATGACTGGCCTCTCCTCGATGTCCCCACGAAGTGTGCCTGCGGAGTTCTGTTCTCCACTGCTCATGCCATGTGTTGCCCCCGGGGTGGCTTCCCTACAATCCGCCATAACGAAGTCCGTGACATGGTAGGGGAGCTACTCACGGAGGTCTGCCACGCAGTGGCAATCGAGCCTCAGCTAGCCCCGCTCTCTGGAGAGGTGTTTATGGCTGCATCAACAAACACCGCCGAGGATGCCCGCGCTGATGTCCGTGCCCGTGGCTTCTGGACCCGAGCACAGGATGCTTTCTTTGATGTACGCGTCTTCCATCCTGATGCGGCGTCCTACTCGGCCCAACCACTGGATGCCCTACTGCTTCAGCACGAGCGCCAGAAGAAGCTGCAGTACGGAGAGCGAATCGTCAATGTGGATCGTGGCACATTCAGCCCGCTGGTGTTGTCAACTTCTGGTGTTGCCGCCCCTGAATGTGAAAGGTTCCTTAAGCGCCTCTGTGGCTTGCTTGCCAGGGCTGATTCCAGCATGCCCTATGCACACCATGTTGCATATGTGCGCTGCAGGCTGTCTTTCGCGCTGCTCCGGTCCGCTGTCATGTGTGTCCGTGGGTCTCGGTCGGCATACCATCGTCCAGCTAACGAGCTCAGGGAGCTGGCAGTGGTTGAAAGCATGATCTAAAACCATTTGTGTTTTAGTGTGACTCTCGCCATTCCGGAGACATATTGTCCACACCTGTGTAGTATTTTTAATATTATCTTCCTATCATTGCGTCATAAATAATGACGTCAACTTCTGTGCGTATCTCGCGCCAGGTTTGAACAGCACTGCAGATGCAAATTTCGCGCGAACGGATTCACGTGACCATACAGGACTGTAGAAGTGGAACATGTGTACTTAGGTGTTGCACTGCATCATGCATTTTACACACTACACAGTACAGTACATGTGTACTTAGGTGTTGCACTGCACCATGCATTTTACACACTACACAGTACAGTACATGTGTACTTAGGTGTTGCACTGCACCATGCATTTTACACACTACACAGTACAGTACATGTGTACTTAGGTGTTGCACTGCACCATGCATTTTACACACTACACAGTACAGTACATGTGTACTTAGGTGTTGCACTGCATCATGCATTTTACACACTACACAGTACAGTACATGATTGTGTACTTAGGTGTTGCACTGCACCATGCATTTTACACACTACACAGTACAGTACATGTGTACTTAGGTGTTGCACTGCACCATGCATTTTACACACTACACAGTACAGTACATGTGTACTTAGGTGTTGCACTGCACCATGCATTTTACACACTACACACTACAGTACATGTGTACTTAGGTGTTGCACTGCACCATGCATTTTACACACTACACAGTACAGTACATGTGTACTTAGGTGTTGCACTGCACCATGCATTTTACACACTACACAGTACAGTACATGTGTACTTAGGTGTTGCACTGCATCATGCATTTTACACACTACACAGTACAGTACATGTGTACTTAGGTGTTGCACTGCACCATGCATTTTACACACTACACAGTACAGTACATGTGTACTTAGGTGTTGCACTGCACCATGCATTTTACACACTACACAGTACAGTACATGTGTACTTAGGTGTTGCACTGCATCATGCATTTTACACACTACACAGTACAGTACATGTGTACTTAGGTGTTGCACTGCACCATGCATTTTACACACTACACAGTACAGTACATGTGTACTTAGGTGTTGCACTGCACCATGCATTTTACACACTACACAGTACAGTACATGTGTACTTAGGTGTTGCACTGCATCATGCATTTTACACACTACACAGTACAGTACATGTGTACTTAGGTGTTGCACTGCACCATGCATTTTACACACTACACAGTACAGTACATGTGTACTTAGGTGTTGCACTGCACCATGCATTTTACACACTACACACTACAGTACATGTGTACTTAGGTGTTGCACTGCACCATGCATTTTACACACTACACAGTACAGTACATGTGTACTTAGGTGTTGCACTGCATCATGCATTTTACACACTACACAGTACAGTACATGTGTACTTAGGTGTTGCACTGCACCATGCATTTTACACACTACACAGTACAGTACATGTGTACTTAGGTGTTGCACTGCACCATGCATTTTACACACTACACACTACAGTACATGTTTTTTTTTGTTTTTTTTTGTTTTTTTTTTTTTTTTTATTGGGAACACAGCCCTACAAAGAGACATGTGGAGACAAACACAAGACAAGACACAGGGGATGTAGGGACGACGTGCCGATGTACAGGGAGCAACTCGACCGACCAGGGGTCTCGGCGTTAGCGTTGCAACCTGGCATCGAAAAAAAGGGGGGGGTGCATGGTCAGGTAGCAAAAATAATAATTTGGTGCGAGAAAGGGGCTCTAGTATTGCACCAAATAATATAAATTAATACGTGTAATGACTAAACCAGAAGGGAAAATGAAGAAAGAGGACAGTAATCATAACAAGCAAGTAGTAGTAGAGAGGTAAATACTAAATGGGTCTCAAATCTCAATATCATCGTCACAGGTACTGTGTGGACCACAGCCATCTCTTTCGGATTAGATCCTTACATACGTTGACCTTGAAGGTTTGGAGGCGTCTTGAATGAGGCTCGTGAAGCAGGAGGTCCGCAGGCAGGTTGTTCCAGGGTGTGATGGCGAAGAAGGGGAAGGATCGCAGGAGGTAGTCAGGGGCTGTGCGAGGTGGTGTCCACTTCAGCTGAAAGGCATGGTGCGTCTGACGTGTTTGCCGTGTGCACATGCTAGCTACGGCAGGGGGCTTGGTTGGTGGCAGCATGGCCTTTACCTGGGGAGGCCCTGGAATGTAGTGCAGCTTGAACAAGTATGAGGGAGGCGGTGGACTGTTGGAGATCGTCAGTTGGCTGTACTAAGCTGTAGAGTGTGGTGTCGTCTGCAAAGCTGCTCAGCTGCGTTCCTGGAGTTAAACATTGTTCAATGTCACAGGTGTATAGAAGGAAGAGGCTGGGTCCTAGGATGCTGCCTTGGGGGACACCAGCCTGGATGGGTTGAGCATCTGACGTCTGGCCTCCAACCACAACGCGGATGTTTCGGTTGGTGAGGTAGTCCTGTAGCCAAACAAGCAGGCGTCCGTCGACGCCGGCCTGCTTTGCTTTGTACAGCACTCCTGTGTGCGATACCCCGTCAAACGCACCGGCAATATCCACGGCGAGGACCTGGACACAACCGCCAGTACTTATGGTGTGGACCCATTCATGTTGGAGAGCCGTTAAGATATCTGCGGTTCCTCTACCACGTCGGAATCCAAACTGGCTGTTTGGCAACACCTCATGCTTCTCTAGGTAGTTAACCAGTTGCGTGTTTACAATGCCCTCCATGACTTTCGACATGATCGTTAGCAGTGATATTGGTCGGTAGTTAGATGCCAAAGATCTGGAGGACCGTTTGTGAACTGGGACAACATGGGCAAGTTTCCATGCCCCGGGTTGCACACCGGCTAATGTGTACTTAGGTGTTGTTCTAATGTGTACTTAGGTGTTGCACTGCACCATGCATTTTACACACTACACAGTACAGTACATGTGTACTTAGGTGTTGCACTGCACCATGCATTTTACACACTACACACTACAGTACATGTGTACTTAGGTGTTGCACTGCACCATGCATTTTACACACTACACACTACAGTACATGTGTACTTAGGTGTTGCACTGCACCATGCATTTTACACACTACACAGTACAGTACATGTGTACTTAGGTGTTTCACTGCACCATGCATTTTACACACTACACACTACAGTACATGTGTACTTAGGTGTTGCACTGCACCATGCATTTTACACACTACACACTACAGTACATGTGTACTTAGGTGTTGCACTGCACCATGCATTTTACACACTACACAGTACAGTACATGTGTACTTAGGTGTTGCACTGCACCATGCATTTTACACACTACACAGTACAGTACATGTGTACTTAGGTGTTGCACTGCACCATGCATTTTACACACTACACAGTACAGTACATGTGTACTTAGGTGTTGCACTGCACCATGCATTTTACACACTACACAGTACAGTACATGTGTACTTAGGTGTTGCACTGCACCATGCATTTTACACACTACACACTACAGTACATGTGTACTTAGGTGTTGCACTGCACCATGCATTTTACACACTACACAGTACAGTACATGTGTACTTAGGTGTTGCACTGCACCATGCATTTTACACACTACACAGTACAGTACATGTGTACTTAGGTGTTGCACTGCACCATGCATTTTACACACTACACAGTACAGTACATGTGTACTTAGGTGTTGCACTGCACCATGCATTTTACACACTACACAGTACAGTACATGTGTACTTAGGTGTTGCACTGCACCATGCATTTTACACACTACACAGTACAGTACATGTGTACTTAGGTGTTGCACTGCACCATGCATTTTACACACTACACAGTACAGTACATGTGTACTTAGGTGTTGCACTGCACCAGGGAGCCCTACACATACCGGGAGGTGACACGGAACCATAACTCCTGTTTGATGGTTGCCTCACGGGTGAACCCTGTGGTTTTTCAAAAAACCATCGAACTTTTTTGAAACCGCAAACAAGGCTAAAACAAGGATGGTTTCATGAATTTTTAGTGCAGTATTCATTTGAAAGTTTGAATCGATCGATTGGATTGAATTATTGTACTAAGTGCTATTATCTTTGATACATCTTTGATCTGTCCTGGGAGATGAAATGTCGAATCTTCCTAGCCCCCTTGTTGTGGCCGAAGACATTCTTGTGTGCAAGGAAGACTTTTGTTTGGACAAAGAGCGCTTTGTGAAGTGGATTCGAGGTTGGTGATGATAGTTTTTCATTTGTTGAATGAGTTTGTGTTGATAATGGATGATATCGACGCAGCGCCATTCAATGTTGCGGAATTTTGGATGCAGGTCTTGCTGAGGACGAAGTTCTAGCCGCCCACCAGCCACAGGAGTCGACCACCGCGCGTGCAATTTGCACATTGCTTGAGAAATGCATGCAGGGCGGGGATCATACGTACTGGGGAACTCAGTCATTCCTGATTGAGTTCTCCAGTGACTTGAACAACTGCTTTGGAAGGTCCCAAACAGAAATACGTCAGCACTTGAGAGCCATGTACAAGCAGCCATCGTTTACTAGATTTTGCAAATTGGTTATTTGCAGCAGAGAGGATGCGAATTTTCCAGATGATAAAAAAGGTAAGAATTACACACGAACAATATCTTGCTACTCGTATAATGAAAGTAATTAGTCATCATTATACATCCTACAATCATGTACATTATAATAATATTATCATTGATGGTGCTCTCGGCTGGAGCTCATCAGTAGCCCTCATTTTCTAGAGAGAGGAAATAAATTCGCTAGACAATGAAAAAACAAGTATTATTATAGCATACCGCGTACCGGTGTCTTGGATCGAAACATTGTAGTTGCCGACATATTTCAAGCACGTGAGTGGAAAGGAAATAAGCAAATTACAACTGAAACGTGTCGTGAAATAGATTGCAGCAGGAAGCATAAGTTAGATATTGCCGTACAGCAAACACAAATGCATAAAATTGAAACTGCATCAACTTCATTTAATACTAGAGCTAGATTGGTTGACTGCACACTAACATGTAGAATTAATTAACAGACACATCGCCAACAACAAAGCTACGGCACCAGCGGAACATGCAACAGTTGTGCAGAGTTGACAATATATATTTAATTTATAATTTCAAGAGTATGCGGAATTTTAATTAACAGACACATCGGCAACAACAAAGGTACGGCACCAGCAGAACATGCAGCAGTTGTGCAGAGTTGACAATATATTATAATGTAATTTATAATTTCAAGAGTATGCGGCACTTGGCTAATTATCCATTCTTCTCTGCTTTGAATGCTGCAGTTACCGATCGATTGTCATCTTCCCTATTCCACGAGCTAGTCCGAACAATATGGCATGAGTTGCAGAAATCCGGAACCCTGCAAATCACCACAAAAGAACGGCCACAACGACATGATGCACCGGAGGCTGCAGCCATAGCATACCATGCTGGATGGTGCATTGTAGCTGTGCGGAAAAGGATATGGCACAAGCAAGGACAACAAGAAAACTTGCGGGTACTCAGTCAATTTGGAGTGGATGTGCGTCTGGCGCAGGGCTGCCGGGTGTCTAAGATAGAACTACTTACGAGTGAGGATGATTCAGTTCTTCACGGAAATGGGCAGCCAGCCGAGTCTGTAGAAGAGGATGTTGCAGAGGTAGAAGAGGTGGTTGAAGAAAGCGTAACACACGATGTGGCGGTTGCTGAAGTTGTGACGGTCAATGATGAAACATCCAGAAGCTTGTCAGCGGTGTTGGCAGCAGATGTATTCGAATCGTTTGATGACATAGAAGACGATCCACTCCTGCAGGCATGCAACCACACAGAAGAGAAGCAAAACCAAGGGAAGCACGTCTTCAAGCTGAAGTCAGATGCATTAGCAATGTTCCAGCAAATGCACGAGTTAACAGAGTCGAGTTTCCATGCTCTTCTGGCTAAAGAGCGCAGCACTGCACTGCCTCTCCTGAAAGCAAACCTTCTTGCAGATCAAGGCATCTGCAAGCAGTTCCACAGGCTCACCAACACTGATGACAAATCAATGTTGGTGGCGATCATCGATATGTTTGTCAAAAGCAAACAGAAGCAGATGCTGAGGAGATTCAACTTGGCCCCAAGGAAATCCTCCCAGGCCCTACGTGCCAGTGTCAAGCCAGGGAGCAATGCTGCCAGCAAGACAGCCAATCCTGACTCTGCCAGCATCCTCACAACTGGTACTGTGAAGCAACTTAAAGACGCATTGCGCAGTAATGGTTTGCCCGTGGGAGGGACGAAAGCTGACCTGATCAGCAGACTTTCCTCCCACCTAACCTCCTTGGAAAAGGAGAACTGCGAGCCAAAGTAATGAACCAGATAAGTAGTATTTATTTTATGTCTCAATCTCTGTCTTCACCACCACGGTGTTATGCTGCAATCATCGTAAATATCTCCCCAATTTTTTGCCCTGGGGGCTTCATCATATCACATCGTATCATAATTATAGTATTTTTCCCACTGAACATTCATATTTCCTCAACCTTATGAATAGTGATTCGAATAGATTACAAGTTTTTCCTGTTATCTGCACCGCCTCCATCATGCTTGCATTGTAAATTATTTGCTAAGGCCTAAGGAGGCCTTCCTTTTCCAGCGTCGATATTGTCATTTTCGATTCGTTTTTGGTACACTTTTAAGTTTTCCAAAAACAAACATACTGTATTCATCTAATGGACACTCAAAATTTCTACTTTTGCCTTTCACAGCCTTTTGTTAAAAGTTAAAGTCCAAAATCCTGCTCTACCCTTTCTTTAAGCTCCAAACATCTAAATGCCAAGCAAATGAAATAAATGGTGGACTGTTCGTCTGTTCGTCCTAACTAGTAACTTACAGGTCATTTTCCCTTTACAAATGAAATATTTTTAGTAAAGAAAAAGGATCAAGGAACTACAAGTTAGGCTATAATGTCCACTAACACCACCACTTACTTGACAATCAGCTAATGCGATAACATTGCACGACACTGACCGACGGTACCGACGTTCTACAACTAACTGGCTAACAGCTCTAGCACGTCTTGGGTGCGCAATCCAACAGCCTTCCAACTTGACGTGCTAGAGGTGATAGCTGACGATTGGCTCTCAATCCGAGTCTAAATGAAATATTAAAATTAATATCAATTTCCCTTTTCCATTCCCTCAATTGGTGAAAAAATTAATATCCGTGTATATTGAAGTACACACGCAAGTCACTTACTGTTTCTGGTGTGAATCCTTAGAAGTTGCCACCGTCCTTGCATGATGAGGCTTGAGAGGCATTTGAGCTGCACCCGTACCCAGGTTTCTACCCATGACATGAGTCTGATTGAGACACAGGCCATTGTACCCATACGCTTTGCATGTCATGTTGCTATTGCAACCGCCAATGCTCCTCTGGAGTCCAAAATACCCTTCAAGGAAGTCTTGATTAATGGTTTTCGGTATCACATAGAGAGGTGGTTCCAAGCTATGGAACTCTGTGGCAATGAATGCTACAAGGCTCTGCAAGCCTTGGGCTGCAAAAGTCACATCCTCATGTAACTGAGGGGAAACAAAAGATTTGGAGCCACCAGAAGATCCTGCATTGCTTTTCCAATCATTCAGCCATTGGCTTACGGATGCAAGTTTGACCAGGCGGGGGTCTGATGGGTCTACCAACTTGGTGCTTGAAGAAAAGATATCCACAAACATTTTAACGTTTTCCAAGTACTTCCGTACTCCTACCGTTCCAGCAGGATCACTGGTCTGCATTTCATCAATGACACACTGCTGGAAGACATCAAATGCCAGCCCAGCACGCATTTTGCTGTAGCTAGAAAGGTTTACATGTTCCTTTGTGATTCTTGTCAAACCCACTTGGCGCTGACTATCCCTCTCGTTCACCTCCCTAATCTGCTTCCACACTATGCTATACCCTTCAACCTGCAGGTGCCTCGTGAAAGACGCTCCTTGACCACTTTTCGAAAGGTTGTTTCGGAACTTCTTTACAATGTGTGTAGGGTCTGATATGACGAATATAGGGTGCAATGATTTCTTGTTGTAGTATGCACCGGAGCTATCCTGAAAGCTACGCAAAAAACCACGATTGCTACCACCACCGTCACAACAAAGGACAAGCACATCAAACCCAAACCGGTGAAGGCTTGAAACACCAGCATCAATTACATCTTCCAGTTGATACCCCTTCATAGACTTAGTGAAGAAGTAGCAGCATGGAAAGAAAAATTTAGAAAAGAGGCTCTTGAAGGAGAACTGCAGAACATGGGTAGCTAACAGGTCTTCCACTTCACCCTCTTCACTATCAGGATAACACCCACTGTCCACGAAGCCTACAAGGGTATCAGAACGTTCGTCCCATACAAGGCCTTCTTTCACCTTAACTTCGTCAAAGTAAAGTCCACCCATAAAGGCTCGGTCATGTCTGCCTTTTCCCTGGCGAAGAAACTCATCATAGCTCTCTCTCATATTTCTGAGTGAATGTTCATGCCAACCGCTTTGAGGCTGGTTGAAGTTCCGGTACCTCAATATAGTCCTGCCAGACGGAAGTTTCAAAAACCCAGACTCCCGCATACTTTCGTACGACTGAGCAGACAGCGCATGTTGCTGCATACACCAACGAAGCACTGATGGGTGCCAGCGCATTTGATGACTAGGTGTCACGAGGGCACGTGCCTGGTCAGCCAACAAAAGGCTAAAGAAAGCATCTTCAGGTTTACCTGTGTGCAAAAGCAAGTGTGTTTCACACAACTTTCGTGACCGAAAAGGACCGGATTTGCAATCTTTCCATTTACAAGTGTAGGATGGGTGCAATTGCAATGCACTATTTCGAACGTGGTCAAATTTCAAATGATGCACAAGATCTTTTATTTCCGAAAAATGCCTTTTGCAGCCTTCCCACATGCATATTGGGTTTTGCACTCTGTCGTGTATGATGTCCATACCGTCTTGAAGGTTTTTAAAAACCTCTGAAAAACCATCATCCACAGACGAAATCATTTCGTCCCTCATTTTCTGCAGCCGATGAAAGTTTCGGCTGAGTTCCTCAAACCGTTTAGCCTCAGAACGCAGGCGTAGAATTAAGTCATCACGTGACAAATGTATAAAGGCAGTGTGCGGAGAAACGGGTGAGTCCGAAAGCCGAGAGAGTGCTTTCCTCAGCGTTCCGTCAAACAATTTACAAGCTGCACACCTGGACCCAGCAGCTATCAGGTGGGGACAGACAACAGTTCGAATGCAGCGTTGTGGCACCCAGGCTTCTTCAAGATTCGCTACCACCGTACCATCTGAACCCCGGAAGATACCACCTTCAGGACGCGTCTCCACTACCTTCTCATACTTATTGTAAGAACACCCAGAGCATTCACTGGCAGTTGCCAACATATGCAGAAGTTTGGAAAAGTGGTCAGCTGATGACACTACATTATCAGATACATCAAGCTGCAAAGGCACTTGTATCCCATACATGAATGTTGAAAAGGAAAGGTTAGGCAGGATTCTAATGCTACGTACAGCATGTGCGGGACTTCCACCAAAGTAAAATAAATGCAACCCTTCATTTCCCTCGTTATCCAACCGCCAGAGCGAAAAGGTTGAGGCATGCGAATAAAAGAACTCCGAGATTTCAGATAATCCAAAAGGCTTATGATCCGCAGTCTGATTGGGTGCAAATTCCCACGAAGCTAAAGCTAAATCGATATCGCGAAGAAGCGCACTCCTGTCCGCTTCGGTCATGCAATTCTTCAACGCATGGTGCAGAGTCCCTCCATGCCCCTGAATGATTTTCGAAACCAAGTCACTAAACCTGGCCCACCTGACGCGCCCACGATACTTTCCGGAGTTCGTTGACTTTGTCGGAGCTCGCTTCAGGTAAGAGGTTACCTGTGAAGGAGAAAGTTGATCCTTGCAATTCAAAATTCGATTTGCACCGTTCACTGCACGTTCAAAGGCCAGCAATGCTGCGTCCCGCGCTCTAAACGAGTTTGTGGGGAAGCTGGTCTGCAATATGCTGTACAGCACAAGTTCCCTACAGCATGGTGGGTCACCATTTTTCCAAGTGATTGGGTTACATGCTGGGTGCAGCTCAGCCTCGATGCAATGATTGCGTGAGTTGTCACCAACAATAGCTTCTTTCGATTGAATTCCTGAAACAAGAAGCAAGAAGAAAATTCACCCATTCACCCATACATATGAACTACACCCACTTCATCGTGCATGCAGGACAGCAATGCTGGAGCATGACCATCGTACCTGTTGTGCTATTCGTATCTTCATGTTCTCTTAAAATTCGCTTCAAAGGCGGATCAGCATCACCACGTGAGGTCCTATATTGACATATAAACAGAAAGAGAACAGACAGAACTTTGGTGTTTGAGTACCCAGGTATGGTGCTCGGCACACTGCAGCTATACATTCGTTTCGTATAGTTGTACTGAAAACCGCGGTGCTTTACTCGTCCCAAAAATAGTGACATTTGAAGATGAATTTGGCAATCAAAATTGCCTCCTAACGTTTCCATTTTTTTAGGGATAAAACGAGAAGTTATGTAGATGCTATTAATCCACAGTTCATAAATCCACGTCTTTGCCGAGTGGAAATATATGCTTGCTAACATGATGTATTTTCAATATGAGCAAATGTTGCATTCACAAAAAATCTGAAAACAGGCAATAACTACACGAATTGTTCCTGTTTCCGACTTATAGTAATTAGGTTAACTTATATTTGCACGATACAGCGAATCCAAAGAGTCTATCCACTTGTTACAGCTATACAAAAGTACGAACTTGAAAATGTTTTTAGGCTCTGATTTCACCACGACGTTCAGCAGAGTTTAGTTAGATCGCTGTGCTAGTGTGTGGCGACAGCCTTTATCTTCGCCGGAAATACTCGTTCAGAGTGTTCAAACTTGGTCAGACTTCAGGAAACATGTTCATTCGATCGTCATTTTCACTAAATTTTGACATCACAAAACACTCTTACCTTTTACCCAAAAGCTGAGCCTGGGAAACATTGGCCGCCATCCTACTTGCGTCAATGACCACTCAAGGCCATATTGAAGTGTCACAGCAAGCCAGCATATGATAAGATGACTCTCACAAACGATATTCAGCATCGATTAACTCTTTTCATCAATATCTGTACTGATGTGTGATGAGAACTCTCAGCTACTTTTTTTTTTTGAATGAGTCAAACGTCATGCACAGTTTCTGTGCCCGTGTCACCTCCCGGTATGTGTAGGGCTCCCTGCACTGCACCATGCATTTTACACACTACACAGTACAGTACATGTGTACTTAGGTGTTGCACTGCACCATGCATTTTACACACTACACACTACAGTACATGTGTACTTAGGTGTTGCACTGCACCATGCATTTTACACACTACACAGTACAGTTTGGCACAGAAATAACTACTTGCCGTCATTCCATATTATAGTATACATGATGACTGAACAGTCGTGGCCAAAGAAATCCAATTGGCCAACCCTCGTGCCGAAAGCAGCACCAAGGCTCATGCGGCCGCTGCGGGCCTCGAAATCAGTTTTGGGAACGTGCATGATGTCATTGGAGTGGAAACGCTGAGCTACGTTTGACTTGCGGGTGGGATTTCTTTGGCCAGGACTGAAGTACATGTCACGCTGGTGCATAGACCGATTCCGACAATGTAGGAAAGGAAGTGGCTTTCTTTTACATCACACCAAGCCCTACCAATGATGTATGAAAGATTTCAAAGAGAGTAGCCAACAGATCGTCTCTATGTATCACTGAATGACACGATGTGTGTGACTAGGACCAGTTCCAGTACAGCAGGGTGCGCAACAGCAAGGATCCATTATCATTGAACAGTTATCACACTTGCACTGACACTCGCTGGTGCAATGATGAGAGATTCTTGCATTCATCCAAACAAATTGCACTCCAAAGATTTCATGTTGTTCCCTGCACATAATATGTCCGTCCAACCGTCCCTCCAGCCACTGTCCAAGGAGCGGGTTTCGCGTCGGTCGCCAACAACTGATGACCACGCTTGCCTAGATATTGGTGTCGGTGGATTGTGGGAGGCATTACGATGTACGGGTATTTAACCCACATGCGTTGTCAAACCGTTCTCAAACCGTGCTGCTCCTCTTCCCACTTTCTATCGAAATCATGAGAATGAGAAGAGCGTTATCGTGGAGAGCACGTGAGGACCGTAGAGCAGACAGCATTGTGTTCTGGCTGTAATGTCCGCATCTTGAGGTTCCAGTCTGTAATGTCCGCATCTTGAGGTTCCAGTCTGTAATGTCCACATCTTGAGGTTCCAGTCTGTAATGTCCGCATCTTGAGGTTCCAGTCGTGTGGCGGCGGTTATAGCTAGGCTGCTGTCAGACAATCAGCCAGAGCCTTACAGCCATGCCATCGCTTTCATTCGGGTAACGTTGCAAAGTGCAACAAGAGTACAAGGGTACAGTGTTCCACCATCCTTGGCATAATACCAGCATAATTGTTAACGTAGCAAAATCACTGGCATAATGTAAAGCATAATTCAGCAAATTACCGAGCGTAATCCGCCAAGGGCTGTTTGTACTGAGTTCACCATACTAGTAGATTGGACCGCAGCATAGCATAGCACCATCATTGGCATAATTCCAGTATAATGTAGCATAATCACTGGCATAATTTGGGCATAATGGGAAGCATAACTCAGCCTTTCACCGAGCATAATCCGCCAAGGGATATTTCGCTCCCTTCTCATCAAGGATAATACAGGGAATGGCTCAATTATTATTTGGAAAGCCTAACACTGAAATAGGGTAAAGATCAAGAAAGCAACACTCGTGACAAGGTGGTAATTTATCAAGTTTAGAAAAACACAAAATTTGTCTAAATAGAAATGAAAACAGAAATGATACCAACAAAGTGAGCAAACTATGGTTGCGTTTGGTTGGGCATTTTCAGAATGTAAATGACAACCATTCTGGAATGGGAATCAGCAAGAATCACCTGACCAAACTAACGCGCCAGAATCAATTAGGAATCACTTGACATAACAATTCCATGATGTCGTTGTGGAACGGCGGCTGTATTTTCTTTTACCCGACTCTAGTTTCCTTGAGAGAGTCAAGGTACTTCTGAGTGCATGATTTGAGTCACTTGAGCCTGTTGCTACATGTACATTGTTTGGCTCGTGGCAGCCATTATCATTTTTGATTCCGGAATGAGAATGCTCATTCCAGCATGTGAGGTGGAATGATCATTCTCCAAAAAGAATCATTCTCAGCGATTCCCATTCTGGAATCATGTGGAATGTGACCAACCTAACGCACTTTTTTGACCAACCAAACGGGCGAGAATGATTCCGAGTGATTCCAAGTGATTCCCATTTGGGAATGTGACCAACCAAACGTAACCTGAGTAACATCGTTTACACCTCTAGGAGTAACACCAAACAATTGCAAAGACAACTCATTTTCATTTTTGCACACAGACCTCAGGATTATTATTATTATTCTCTTTATTTGAGGGATGACCAAGAGGTCGGTAGCCTAAAAAAAAGTTATTGTGTTCTAGTCCATGGACCCCGTCTACAAAGTAAGAAATTAACGAAATGTGATAGCCGAAAATTAAAATTTCACACAAAACCTCACAATAATCACAAC